AGCCAGAAAATGTACAGAAAGAATCATCAAATTAACAACTTTTACAATATTTCCAGATAAATCCTCATATTTTATCAAAATCACTTTAATCTACATCTCTGAATGACCCAACAGCTTAACACCTGTCAAGATGACTCAGGCTCTGCATAAGTATCCTAAAAAGCTACTTCAGTCTCACTCCACCCCGTCCATTGCTCCACTGTTTTCTGTCTCCATAAGCGTTGAGGAAAATTGATAGCAAAGGACATTTCAACAGATGAGCAGGAGAGATAAAAACACCTCATTCTCTGAATCTCCTTTCCAACTGACTGTGACTGAGCAACTTTATTTGATTGCCGCCCTTTTACTGTTTGCAGAACAAACATAATTCCAAAATGACACCCTGTTACATGAGAAATTGAAGACGGCCGTCCTTTCACACTATGGAGGAAGGGAGGGCTGACTCGTGCCTTTCTTGTGACAGCCATACTGATGCTGCGGTTTCTCTGCTGCCTGTACCAACAAAAAAAAACCCTACTGCGAGAACAATAACAGCATTTGCCTCTCAATAATAACTCCACTGCAGGCACAATGTCGAGGACACACACACAGCAGTGCACTGTTAGCATAATCCACTTATTTTAAAGACAACATTTTTCATAAGTGGTGCAGGATGGCAACAAGTCGCTCTGTGATGTGATACATACTGGTTACTTATGAATAAGTGATGTAACTATTTTCATTAATATTATCAGCTTCTTCCTTGCAAAAAAATAAAAAATAAAAAGTGTGAATGTTTAACTTTCCATAGATAAACAGAAGTGCATAAAAAAATGAAGACCAACAAGAAGCTTTGATCTAGAAGCAGGTGGATTAAAAATGTGTTTCTTCTCAGGCAACGATGGGGAGGAGAAACCCTAAAATAAGAAGCGCGACATGATCGTATCTGAGGAACACACTGTTCCTGATCACCTGAGAATCATTAGAGCTGTTATTGTTTCATTAATATATGCTTGAATAATTAGTGACCTTCCAGTTATTTTTTTATTCACTTATTTTTTCCTCACATGTAAGAATTCCAGACCTGATGCCACAGCTACTATGGAAATTAATCCAATTTTCAACAGGATAACCTACTTTATATCGACATGAGCACTTGTGTGAGTCAATGTTTGTACAAAATTCCATGTCTTCAACAATCCATCATCATATCCCTTTTCTAAGATTTTCTGTTTTTCTAAAGTTTTAAATGATAGATTTATTAAATACAGGCAATAATAAGAGATTTTTTTAACATCATAGAATTTTGTAATGTTGCATATTAGCAATGTAATCTGTAAAGCTAGATGTAATAGTAAATATAATTTAAAAGGAAGTTTAGCTCACTACAAGTCTGTTATTATACACTGCTCAAAAAAAAAGGGAACAACACATCCTAGATCTCAATGAATGACATATTCCAGTTGAGAATCTTTATTCATTACATAGTGGAATGCGTTGAGAACAAAATAACAATAAAATGATCAATGTCAATCAAAATTATTGTTCCATGGAGGTCTGGATTTGCAATCATACTCAAAATAAAAGTGGAAAATCACATTACAGGCTGATCCAACTTCAGTGGAAATTCCTCAAGACAAGTCAGAATGAGGCTCAGTAGTGTGTGTGGCCTCCACATGCCTGTAGGACCTCCCGACAACACCTGGGCATGCTCCTAATGAGGCGGTGGATGTTCTCCTGAGGGATCGCCTCCCAGATCTGGATAAAAGCATTATCAACTCCTGGACAGTCTGTGGTGCAACGTGGCGTTGGTGGATGGAACGAGACATGATGTCCCAGATGTGCTCAATTGGCTTTAGGTCTGGGCAGGCCAGTCCAGTCCATAGCATTAATGCCTTCATCATGCACGAACTGCTGACATACTTCATCCACATGAGGCCTAGCATTGTCATGCATCAGAAGGAACCCAGGGCCCACTGCACCAGCATATGGTCTCACAATGGGTCTGAGGATCTCATCCTGGTACCTAATGGCAGTGAAGGTACCTCTGGCTAGCACATGGAGGGCTGTGCGGCCCTTCAAAGAAATGCCTTCCCACACCATTACTGACCCACTACCAAACCGGTCATCCTCTTGGGATGTTGCAGGCAGCAGAACGTTCTCTACGGCGTCTCCAGACACTGCCACGTCTGTCACATGTGCTCAGTGTGAACCTGCTCTCATCCATGAGGAGCACAGGGCACCAGTGGAAAATCTGCCAATCTTGGTGTTCTCTGGAAAATACCAGTCGGGCTGCATGGTGTTGGGCTGTATGCACAATCCCCACTTGTGGACATCGGGACCTTATACCACCCTCATGGAGTCTGTTTCTGACAGTTTGAGCAGACACATGCATATTAGAGGCCTGCTGGAGGTCATTTTGCAGGGCTCTGGCAGTGCTCCTCCCGTTCCTCCTTGCACAAAAGAGGAAGTTGCAGTCCTGCTGCTGAGTTGTGCCCTCCTACGGCCTGGACACTGTGCTGAGAGACACAGCAAACCTTCTTGCCACAGCTCGCATTGATGTGCCATCCTGGATGAACTGCACTACCTGAGCAACTTCTGTGGGTTTTAGACACCGCCTCATGCTACCTCTAGGGGTGAGAGCACTGACAAAATGCAAAAGTGACCAAAACATCAGCCAGAATGGATGACAACAGAGACATGATCTGTGGTCACCACCTGCAGAACCACTCCTTTATAGGAATTGTTTTGCTAATTGCCTCTCATTTCCACCTGTTGTCTGTTCCATTTGCACAACAGCAGGTGAAATTGATTTACATATAGTGTTGCTTCCTAACTGGACAGGTTGATTTCACAGAAGTGTGACTGACTTGGAGTTACATTATGTTGTTTAGGCTCTCCCTTTAATTTTTTGAGCAGTATACATATTCTATAAACTGTTATTTACCTGAGTGATTTGCATAGCAATGATTTAAAATCAACAAATTATATAAAATATTCCTTTACCTCACATATGAAGCACAGACCCTAAAGTGTTTTTAAGTTGTGGAGACTAACATCAGATTAGAATTTGAAGGTATTCAAATAAGATGTGATCTGACTGAAAACAACTTTTTTCCAGAGTCTTAGAGATTAATGGCAGTTCAGAGACTGATCTGCAATCATTGGCGTCATTTGGGTCGAAGCTGGGTTTTTTAAGTTGTGGTTGCACTATAGTCGGAATGGATGACTCCATTTATTAGACAGCTATTAATTATAGCCAGTTTTAGAGCGCAGAAGGTAGTTAAAATGTCTTAATAGCGGCGAGGTGATAAAATATGTCAGGGGCAGCACATCTGAGTCATGTGTTATTGAATTTCCCTTCTGGGATAAATAAAGTATTTTTCATTTCATTTCATGTGAGAGACACTTTCAGCCAGCCGTAATGACGACATGGGTTAAAATTTGTGAAGGGGACTGATTGGATGTGAGAGACACTGATCTGGTGGCGAGATGTGAGATTAAATGATATCTACTTTGTTAAGAAAGAAATTGAGAAACCTCTGACAAGAACCGATGAAGTTAAGTAGAATTTTAGGTCTCTGGGATTTTTCTTTTTGCTTAGTCATACTGAGCTTTGGCTGCCTTGACTGTGCTTTGATATTGCAATCTTATAAATATTTCATCCTACTGTATCTTACATTTAAAGTGATTTCAACTGAAGCTGCCGCAGTCAGTTTGCATAATTATTGATGCATGATTATTGATACGTTTACACTTGATTCTTATTTGTCTTGGAACACTTGCTTTAAAAATAAATAAATAAATAAATAAATCATTCTTCTTTAACAATTCTCTACTTGTCAGTGTTTACTAGAATGTACCAAATCATTATGCTAAATTCCCCATAAAATTAAAAAATAAGTAAATAAAAATAAATAAATCTACTAGGTAATAAAGCCGATTTTGGTTTTAATTAAAAACTTTTGGGGAATTGCCCTACTGACCCTAATAATAAGCCCTCTTTTTTTTTTTTTTTTTTTAAATCATGTTGGAGTTATCAGTTTATTTTAGTTTAGTTTGATTACATGTTACACTGTGCTGCATTATACATTGATAGACATATGGCCAAAATAAAACTTAGATGAAATCATCAATTTGTGGAAAATTACTGTTTAGATTAATCGGCAAATCAGTAATGACCTTCCTATACAAATTGATAGGAAGGTCCTTATTGTCAGCCTTAATTTGAATCTGCTTGGAGAAATCAAATGCAAAAGGTCCTGCCGTTACAAGAAAGTTAAACTCACTTAAACTCAGTAATTGCTTTTTTGACCAAAAAGACAGCGAGGTGGAACCAAACAAAAGCGGAACATTTTCATTTCAGCTTGGCTTCTGCAGAAAATAGGAATCTTAATGAATTGTCGCCTACATGTGAATCTTTGACACAGTTTTATCACCAAACAAACCCTTTCTTCAGCCTCTGCTGCCTAATGGAACACGAAGCACAGATACAAAGTGGTCTGTGTGTGTGATTGAATGGGCGGTGTGTTTGCTTACTGAGGATGTACGATTTTCTGTTGGCACATTTAAGTGATCTTTCTTCGTTCTTAATATAGAGCAGAAGAACTAGACTTTGCAAGTAATAATAGTAACTTAATGAAAATGTCTTTGATTTGATTAGGCGGACAATGTGTGGTTTGGTAGGGCTAATTGTTCGAGAGAGAAAAAGAAAGGGGAGAGAGTGAGGGACAGAGAGGGGACGAGAATGTTAAATGAAAGCAATCTAATCAGGAAGATGAATCTGTCCTGCTCAGATGCCCCTAACTGATGACCCTCTGAATGACAGCTAGAGCCAATATTGGTGTGGGTGTGTCTGCATAGTCGGGTTTGTACTTACGTGTGTAAATGATGTGCGCATGTGAAGCTCTATAGGTGTGTGTGTGTATGTGTTGCATTGGTGTGCTTCTGCATGGATCGAGTGAGCAAACAAACTGCTGGAGGTTCGCTTGCATGAGAGGCTGAGAAGGATTGTTACTTACTCGGACCACTCAGAGACGTAGCAAAACATGAGGCGGCGAGCGTGATAGGGCAGCCAGCAGACCACAAAGGCTATCACCACGGCTCCTGGACACAAGGAGGGAGAGAGACAGTATCAGAAGACAACAAATAGCCAAGAACGTAGTCGACAGCACTTAGGAAAAACATCGAACTGGTACAGAAAGTGAAAACGTTCATTTGTAGAAGGTGCATAGTGTTCAGAAGATTACAATGAAAATGTTTAAATTTTGATGAGCATAGCAGACCAAAGAATAGAGAGAACAAAGATGTTGTGAAACAGCTAAATTAGTGTAAAGAAAAAGTCTGAAGTGGTAAGCAAATGCAAGAAATGGTTTCTATGAAGGATTTGTGGATTTGTTCTCTCTCTCCCCAACCAGATGGCTGCTCTCCCACAGCCTGGTTCTGCTGCAGTTTTCTTCCTGGTAAAGGGGATTTTATTTTCTTCTATTTCCCCACTGTAGCCAAGTTCTGCTCAAAGGGAATCCAGGGAAATCTTTGGATTTGTTGGGTTTCTCTATATATTTTGTTTTCAGTCTTCAATATGAAGCGCGTTGAGATGACATATTTTGAGAACCTGCTACCACTACAGACAGTGAGCTCAAATAAATACTTCTGATGTAAAATTTTTTGATTTAACTGACTGAAATCATGCTACAAACCTTCTGAACCCGCCAACCAAAAATTCAGATGCAGTGGGCTAGTGTTCAGGTAAGTGTCACTTTACTCTGGAGGTCTGAAAGTGTCAGTAGAAGACAAAAGGACTTCTCCTTTGTCTTCTTCAAAATATTTCACCAGTCATCCAAGAGGCTTCCTCAGTTCTCATCCTCTTTGATAAGAGATGAAAGGCTTTTGAGAAGCAAAAAAAGAAGCCTCTTCTACTGAAGCCGCTAGGATTACCATGACTTGGATGGCAGAGAACATATACAGAAATTTAAGTCTTCATGGATTCAAAACTTTGAATCAAATCAAAAAGTAAAACATGGAAAACCTTACTGAAACTGATAATGCATACTTTTTACTGACCTAGATGCAAAGAAGTGTTTTTACTGTATCGGGACCAGGCAGTATTTGTTATTGCAGAAGCTTCCACACTTGTATTTCAGTACTATACTCGTACGTTTGAGCCTATTTAAAACTGTGTCCCAGTCCCTACCTGGGTCCATTTGGAAGAGGCAGACTCTGGTCAAGATCAAGTGCAGTGGGATGTAAGTTTACATCATATGTAAAAGCTACCCTAGAATGTACAACTGATGAGGATGCAGCTTCAACATTACAAGACTAGACATTTGATCCTAAAGAATTGCACAATTGTTCGGCAGCTGGAGGTGGGTCTGGCTGTGTGGCAATGCCTAGGAAAGAAAAGTCTGTTTGTGGAACCTTTTTAACATTGTGTTAACCTTTGCGTTAGGATTGCATTATTACAACTGCATTGCGGTGTTTTATTGCTAGATTATTGGTCATTACTTTGTTATTATCTTTCTGTCATCATAACATTGTTTTGCTTGTAAAATGTACATGATTTTTTCTTTTCTTTTCTTTTCTTTTTTTTTTTTTTAAAAAGACCTATTTTTGTATTTTTTTGACAATTGCATTCATACTTCAGCATGGTATAGATCATTCAAATTTAACCAGGAAGTGTCCCAAAAGCACCTTGAACGACAGACAGTTGAGCAACGTTGACAAAGGTTTCCAAGTGTGGAATAAAGCTGTCTCTACTAACACACTGTGTTGTTGCGTTTGATTACTGTTGCATGAAATGTTATAGTGTTGCAAATGAACATTTTTAAAACAGGTTTAATAACATCAGCGTAACTGACTGATTGTTATCAGGGTCTTTACATTGTGAATTACAGTTTTGATTGGGCTAAAGCGAACACTTCAATTTCTGTTTATTTTTTTAAAAGGTGAAAACACAGAGACTTATTGTTTTCTTTAAAAAAAAATCTCTCAGGTGTTTCTTATCCAGAGAGCCCAAAGTGGCTCATTTTGGCTTTATAGTTCAAGATACTTTCTTGTCATTATACATGCGTGTACAATATTACTGAATTAATAGATGTTTTTTTCAGGTAGAAGTTGCAAAACATAACCTCAGGCGGAAGTGGTTAACAAGAAGTCTGTATGTATAAACACACCAGAAATTGCAGAAACCAAGTACCACATAAGAAAATAGCCCGTGTTTCACAAAATTTAAAAATAGCAGGTGTTTTTATGGAAGCAGAAAGAGCACTTTGAACTGAGAATGACACAAATCAATGATTCATTCAAACAGCTGTGTTATTCGTCTGACAAATTTTATTAAAGTGCTTCATAGGGTTCTCTTCTTTTCTCCTCTTCTCGTCTCTCGTTTGTGATCAGATGACAAGGTGCTGAGCTGCATCAGAGGACTGCAGGTCAAACTGTGCTATTATTTTCAGCCTAAGTTTCATCTTCATTGTTCCTTCTGTCAATACAATTTATTCGCATAATGGATATTCGACTGCATCAACAACCCGTTGATGAAGGGGGCTGATTGGATGATGTATGCATTCGCATATGGAGCCTATCCCAGCCGACTCAGGGCGAAGGCAGGGGACACCCCTGGACAGATCGCCAGCCTATCGCAGGGCTACACTTTGAGACAGACCACCATGCACACTCATATTCACACCTACGGACAATTTAGAATCACCAATTAACCTCAACTTGTTTTCAGACCTTGTGAGAGGAATCTGGACAACCCGGAGAGAACCCAGGCTACAAAGGTGGTGTCCTCACCGGGACGCGAACCAGCGACCTTCTTGCTGCGAGGCAATGGTGCTAACCACGAGCGACCTTGCAGCCCTTTTTCAGAACATCATTTTTTAAATTCAGTGTTTGTACACAGATAGGTGGATGGAGAATTGTGACATTAATGTCCAGCTTGGTAAAGTTAAGTAATAATGGCTGCAAAACAGCTTGTATTCTCAGAGCAAGCATCCAAAAACATGAATAAAATAAAATCCCTCCCTCATGCGTTGTTTGTATTCACTGCACAGGGATCTTTGGCAGTACCTGTAATTGTACTGCAGCCGAGTTGCCTGCTGTGTAAGAAGAAACATTTTGAAACTATTTCAGGTTGCAGACTTGGCAATCAGGCAGACTTGGACTTACATCTTCAATGCCGGAGGATCAAACTTAATAAAGTTTGAGGCTTTAATAAATCAGCTTCTTGCTTGGCACATCCTTGAAAGCACCTAGCCAGGAAGCAAATATCCATCCATGCTACAATTATGAGACATTTTACAGAAGTTTCAACTAAGGAATGAAACTGAAGTTACATTTGTGGCATCATCCACAGATAACAGACAGTGGTGAGGGTTTGGCTACCTCAGGAAAAAAGTCTCTTGGAGAAACTGGCAGTAGCTGTGAGAAGGGCATTCTGACGACTAAGTTAAACTTAACCTCTCTATGTACATATTAGCATGTTTACAAGACATTTCATAAGAAAATGTTGTCACACATTGTGATGCTGCAATGTCTACTATCTTAGTATCAGACATTGAGGTCAAATTAGGTGAAGGCCAATAAACAGAATTAGAGAGACTTTAGATTTAGAGACTAGGATGTTAAACCACTTATAGAAAGACAATTGCAGTTTTAGAAGGAAGACAACTGCATAAAATGTAATTTACTCTCCTAATCTAACCCCTGTCAATTTCTTCCTTTTTTCCCTCAATCATAAACTTACAACTTTAATCTGGAGATTTCAGAATTCTCTGAACATTACCACTGTCCCTTAGCTCCGTATTAGCTATTTATTTTACCTACAAAGGTCACAATATACCAACATCTAGCATTCTAACGTTTGCTAATTAGTGCTAAATGTTAATAAAATAAATAAATAAATAAATAAATAAACAGTTGCCTGAGTCAGATGGGAATAGTTCAGTAGGTATCCGTTCAGTTGTCTCGCACAGCTAGACCATTCTGTAGCACAGAATGAATAATAGCTGAACCTCATTATCGTTCTACTATGGGGGGAAGACACTCTAGCTTGTTTGTATTTCTTTGCTTCGTTCTGTGGAATAACAACGTAATTGGTTCAAACAATGCAACAATGGAGTCCCCTTAAATGGTGATCTGTTCACAGTTAGGTGAGCACTGGGAGCTAATTAACTGGAAAAAACAAGTGGGGTTATCTTATTACACAATCCAAAACGGTAACATGTACATAGTGGAAAGGCAGGAGATGTGACATTCACAGCCACTGGAAGGCTTATACCCACAGTCCATATTTGGTGAGTTTAGCGAGATTTTATGACAATCTCTCTCTTAATCCATCCTTAAACTATAAATGTGAATGGAAAAAGAATCTTGAGTAATTCAGCCCTGACGTCAACCTCATAAGTCATCGATTCACCTCATTAAGCACAGGTTTAGTTTAAACTTGCTTTTCATAGCTACGGAATGACTTGTAAGAATGAATAAATATGTTGAAATGCTCACATATCCTATTCAGCTCTTGTGACCTACAGCAAATGTCTATTCATATCTCACTGAGGTACATGAGTTTCTGTTACCACTTAGTCACAGTGTGATTGAATAGTCAAAGGCATCCATGGTGTTAATAGCAACTGCTGTCATTTGAGTCTGCTGAGTTCCTGGAAGCTTCTTAAAGAACAGTGCTGCCATACCCAGAATGAAAAGCAACAAATAGAATAAGTTTTCTAGCCCTTGTTTGTTATTTCAGTATAATTTAGCACAACTATTAATGTGTGAAAGCCCAGCTATACAACAAAGACATGACAAACATTGGAATGGTGATTTGTTTGACTTTCATGACAGATTACAACAGCCTCCAACACAACATGTTGTCTACTTGATTCTCTGCAGCTGGTGAAGAATAGCTCAGACCTTTGACAAATGACCCCATTCAAAAAACCTCAGCCCATGGCGTCACCCGCACTGTATGCTGATTGTTTTCAATTCTGAGGTGGACGTACTAATGTGCACTGTTTGATGAAATCTTAACTTGTCTCAAAAGGCCAATTTCCCATCCATCTGCTGTCTTGTAAATATTTTTTAAAAAAAAAACATCAACAGACACA